CGTATCGCTCTGGGCATGCCAGTTGGACCTGTGAGTTTCACTATTGTTCAAACGTTGTGCAAATTTAATGAACTAAATCACAAAAAAACAGCCAACATGTTTTAAATTGACTGCAGTTTCTCTTAAACACACAAATCTGAGCGCATATAAACAGAAACCGAGCCTTGGTGATCTTAGAGCTTCATACTGTCTTTGTTTATCGTGTTCTTGGGCTCATCTTGATCTCAGTGATGAGACTGTGTAATTATATAAGAGTGTGATATAAAGCTACTGTATGAAGCTCCAGTTGCGACAGAAATAAGTCAGCTGCTCTTGTTTTGCTGTTACTGTCCTGCTCTGTAGTATCACTCTCCCTGCTATCTCATTATGTCACTCTGTCTGTTACTGTTGTTAAGTGGTTGAATGTACAAGCTGTGAGAATAAATGTGTCAGATAAGACGTGACAGGACTTGTTTACACCGACACAGTAACGAGGACAATGCTGCTGTAACGACAATTATATAAATATATCCAGGCGGTGTTTTTGTCGCAGGCAACACCAACAGGCACGCAAATGAATGCTGAGCATATTTTAAGCTTGGAAAATGCGATCAGCACAGGGGGAGCAAAATGAGGAAGCAGAGCGAGCATTTCATTTGGATTTTTGCTTTGTCTTCATTGCTAGAACGCCCACAAGGTGCCGCCTCCCTGGTTGATAGCCATGCAGAGGTACGGACCTCCTCCCTCCTATCCCAACCTGAAGATCCCTGGATTGAACTCTCCCATCCCAGAGGTAACAAAATATCCAAAAAGCAGTTTAACAAATATGTCAGTGAATCAGTTATTGCTCATTTTTCCTGACGTTGTTTATCTGCATCCCTTCATCAGAACTGTACTTTTGGTTATCACGCCGGAGGCTGGGGGAAGCCCCCGGTAGACGAGATGGGCAAACCCCTTTACGGCGACGTGTTCGGGACCAATTCTGCAGACTTCCAGGTCAGAAGTGCACAATATACCCTCAGAAAAATAATTATAATCATCATAATAACTTCTTAACAATGTAAAAGAGTAAATACTGTTACTTTAAGTCCTACACCAACAGTAACTCTTGTGTATGATTGTTTTTTGTGCATTTCTTGGTATGAATTTCATCCAAATTGAAATCTTTTGTCTTCACTGTTTAGGGTTTTGTTTTCGATTGCTAAATGTATTATGGCCGTCTCTTAACGATGACTAATACACTAACATGTTTCTGCATTTAGGCTAAGGCGGAGGAAGAAGAGGTGGACCACACAACGTGGGGAGAGCTAGAACCCTCGGATGAGGAATCATCAGAGGAAGAGGAGGAGGAGGAGAGCGACGAGGAGAAGCCAGATGAAACCGGATTCTTCACACCAGCAGATAGGTACTTAATGTGCACAGTACAGTCAGTGATTTAATCAAGAAGCTGATAATGATTAATAGATGAGTCTTAAATCTTATTTAGAGTTTTCTTACCCTGAAGTGTAAAGCAAATCAAAAGGGTAGCACCTCACAAACATCTCAGTCAGCAGTTGCTTACATTTATTTATTGGCTCACGTCCAAGTGGGTTTATGTGTTTTCAGCTCAGAGCGTGTGAGGCTCAGCGCTTCGGTCTAAAGCTGTTTTTAATGTTGGGGAGATGTCAAAAATAAAAATTAACCTTCCAGCTAAAGACTTCGAACGATCCATTTTATAGATGTGTAAGCTTAAGAATCAGACAGACATCAGTGCTGAGATTGACATTAACTTTAAAACTATTTCTTTCATTTAGCGTGTAACTGTAAATGACCTGAGAACAGGGCCGGGAAGTGTCCAGTCACATTAGTGTTTAACTGGGTTATTTGGTCCGTATCTCATGGTGCAGTGTATGACTACATGTCCTCACTTTATGCTAACAGAAGGGTGTGTGCGCATGCATGCATGTGTGCCCACAGCTATTAGTTTCTGAAGTTTGTGCTCACCAATAAACTCACCGTGTGCTGTGTGTCACTTTGTGTGTTTCAGTGGGTTGATCACCCCGGGAGGCTTCTCATCAGTACCAGCCGGCATGGAGACCCCGGAGCTGATCGAGCTGAGGAAGAAGAAGATCGAGGAGGCAATGGATGGGTGAGTGTTGCTCCACTCAGTGCCTCTTTACTTAACCATCGGATCATCAGATTTATCTTTAAAAAAAAAACAACCTAAAAGTGAAAAATGCACTTCTTAATAGAAATTGTGCATTTTGGCTCCAAGTATTTCAAGAGTGAGTACTGGGGTGTTTTTAGATGTTTTCCCAGCATCCAGTTTTGAGAGTATTGGAGTTGGGTCCTTGAAATCTTCCGGTACTACAGTTCTGTAAAGCTAACAAAGAATGACGGATGATCGAGGTTGTTTAAATATCCTTTAAAACAGTCCAAATAAGGTTTCACAGATATTAAAGCTTAAATATAAGGAAAAAAGAGA